TCAGCTCCATCTATGCTGAAACCTGGATTGCATCACTGAGTGAGTGCCTGTGTGATTTCATTGCTTCATCTGTAAAACAGGGATCATAACAGGTCCTATATCAGAAAGTTGTTGGAAGGATTAAATGAAATTGAGTCCTTCCAGAATTTAGTCCAAGCTTGTGGCACAGAGTAAACATTCAAATTATAGTAGCAATGATAATGTTGAGTTCCACCACAGGTGAAACACACACACGCACAACACACACACACACTCAAAAAGGTTTCTTCAAGTTTGGTCTTGAGTTCTTTAATCAGTAACATTTCTTTCCATTTATCAGTAAGCAAGTTTTTAAAATCTCTCTTTATCCCACAGCAATCAGAAAAAGAAAAACAAAATTACAAGTAAAAAATGTAGTCACTGCAGCAAAAATTGTTTTGTCTACATGACAGGCTAATCAAGTATATGGCAGTTTTCCTCTTTGAGGTATGACCTATAGTTACAAGCTCTTAAGGCCACAGCTCTAAATTGTTCCAGAGAAGGCCATTTCATTGGACTTCTACAGTTTTGAAATTGTGTTAAATAAGTGCAAATTTTGCATGCAAAAATAATCTTAGCTAAGAATAATGGGCATTTATTTCATGTTAAAGGTTAGTACATTAAAACCATTTCTATTCAGTAATAATTAGCCTGTTTAAATACAATATAATTTGTATCCATCTACAGGATGCTTAAATGTATGGAATCTCATTTATGTCTATAATGATGGATTCATTTTCGAGGCAGTCATTTTCTATCTTGATCTGTATATTTTAAAGTTGTTAAACGCTTGACTGAATCATTAGCAAAACAATTCATTTATCATTAAGCTGATTTCTACCATGAGATAATTTTCTTCGGTGTCCAATAGATGTGCCTCTTAAGATTTACTGAGAGCTTTCATTCTTTGGAGGGTTTGGGGAGTTGCAGAGGAGACCTTACTAGTGAATTTCACCAACTTATATTTCTCCTACCCACACATTCCCTTAAGAAACACAACCCCAAATGGTTTGTTGAATGAATGCTCAAACACACGGGAGAATGCATACTGTACTAGCAAAGAAAACAGACCATAGGCAGTCTGCCTTTTAAGAGACCACAGAGGGAAAAGGGGAAAGATAAATGGATGGAGGTAGAGACCAAGAAATGCTGGGAATCTCTAGGCCTTATTCAAAACAGGACTTCCCCTCCCCTTACCCCACCACAGCCCTAGCATCTCCAAGTTGGCAAAGATTGTGTCCCCCCATCTCCACACCTTCCCATCCATAAACAGTCCTGTTCCGCTCTTCTGGAGGATTGTAGCTAACGAGGCCTCAGAAGACCTGTGCTCACAGAACAGGAGGAGGCAGCCGGGTTGCTGCAGTGCATGGGCCATGCCCGGCTGGAGCTGAAACAGTTCACTTTTGTCTAGAAAGCAGCCCCCCGCCCCTTCTGCAGTACTGCCCCGCCCTCGTAAGGTCGAGGAAAACTGGGGAAAGTGCAGTTCGGACTGCTGGGGCAGGCCCTGGGGCTGCCTTTACCCTAGGAGGAGAAGCCTGGCCGACACATGGCCCCTTCTCAGCCTTGACAGCCCCACACAGACCTTTGAACTTTCTATTTATATAACAGTTTAGTGAGTTTAAGTCTCTTCCTGTATAACTGCCCGTTTGCAAGCTTGCCTCTAATTAGGCTATTTGTGAGACATCACATAAAAACTACAAACAATTGATGCTGTCCCTTGCAGTGAGAAGCCAGCCACTGTCACAATCACTTTACAATTATAACTAGGCTTTTGAACGTTCTGATTTTGCTATCATGGTGGTTTTCTTTTCATTTTTTTTTTTTTAATTTTTAAGAATGTGTCCCTTTCTGTATTTTCTGTATTTTCTTTCCTTTCCTTCCTTCCAATGAAGGAAAGGTAAGCATCCCCACAAAGAACCTTGGCCTGTCACAAAGCAATAACTAATCAATACTGGGTGGGAGGTACTTACAGAACTGAAAGGCCCTCTGAATTTGCTTTTTTTTTCCCCCTCTTAACTGGGGATTAATGACATCATTACATGATCTTCAGTCACCTCAATAATTCATTTACTTGGTTACCAAAAACAAGACTATGGAATGATTTAAATGAAGAAATTGGATTTTTTTTAAATTTATCTTTTTCTTTAAGAGCAAGTGATGTCTTTCATGGACACAGACAGACATCTGTGCCATCTTTTTTCTTTCACAGAATGGTTTATATTAAATTCAAACTCAGGTGAACATTGCTCATTCATTCAGGAATCTTAAAGAACTTGAGCTTTGGCCCTTTAATCGAGTCCAGAGCATGACCCATTTAGTTATTCTTGCAGTTTGTGAAATCCAGTGGTATGTTCCATTAGGCATGTGAGCATTCCCAAACACTGCCCATAACATGCACACTGCAGCATCATTAGTACTCCATCCTTTCCATTTACATTTGTCCTAACAAATGTGTGTGTTTATAAATGGGCACACACTTTTTGTTTGTTACAGTCAAATGTTTGCAAATAACACATATGCCTTTGTATGTTATGTCTAGGAAAATGAGTTCGTTTTTAAGCTGTCCTGATCCATTTATTGTCAGACATCTAGGGTTGCAGTAGAGATAGCTCAGAGCTTACTGCTCCACAAGTGAATGTTAAGAATAAATTAAAGGTAAATAAGATCATTAACTTTGCTGGTCTTTCTTCCTTTCTTGGCCTTCCTGGGGGGTTGGGGGTGTGGGGAGTGGAGGCCATCACTTTAAGTAGCTATTTACTCCCAAAGAAGGCACGTAAACATATAATGAATATGTAACTGGCATGCTCTGGACTTCCAAAGAGAAGTGGGAAAAGACAATGTCAAGCTTTTTAGTTCATCCACTATTGTCACATTTATTTTCCTTTTCTCTGTGGAGCTGTATAAAACACAGAAGCACAACCACATTACAAATGTTTATAAACAGAGATGCATAACGAAGTGTGCCACTCATGAGCAGTAAGAAGGAGAAATTTTCCTGGATCATGTACGGAGGGAAAGGACAGACTTATTTATGCAGATGCGTTACACTAATTAATCAGTATTTCACATAATATTCTCGAAGTGTCCAAGTCTATGCTCCTTAACTGATGTGGCTCAGTTAGGGATCTGGAGGAAAAAAAGGTTTTGCATTTTCCTTAAGATAAGAAAAAGAAAGCCTCCCACAGGGGTGAGGGAGCCTATCATTTTTTTTTAAAGAAATCAAACATAAAAGAGTCCATCCCCTTTAAATATGCAATTGCATATGCATAAGATTAAACCGGAATTAATATAAAAAATGTTTCTAAAAACCTAATACCTTGTATATGTTTAACATTTGAACTATACCCATGAAATTAATTATAACAATGTCTGTTAAATTAACGATGTAACCCACACCATATATTAGGCAAATTGTATGCAAATAGTAGTGCTATGGTTATCAGTTGTCTGCAAAATAAATTAGTGAAGCAGAGTAAAGGCTGTGTGCAGGAGCATATCTAATTGAGCAATAATTTTATTGTAATTTTTACTTTCAAATAACAGCATTTTTTAATGTAACAATGTATTTCTACAGAGCTGATAAAACCGTGGTATCAAAAACGCCTTATAGATTAATACTGACACAGCATAATTTGTGCTTCAAGGATTTATCCGGAATTGCTGTAAAATAAAATGTATTTAAGTTCTGATTATCTTGGATTTGCAACTAAAGGAGGCATGATTGGCATAATGAAGCTGTTGGCTAAGCATATGACCCTTTTTTAAAGAAGGAAATTGCCTAAAATATCACATCAACAGGGGAAATCCTTGTAAAAATACACAGCATTCATAACCAACGGCCGCTAGTAGTTTAACATTGCAAAAGATTTTGCACTATTGGTAGGTACTACAGATCATTCTAAATACATTTTAAAAGGCAATAACCAAGAATGCAATTTTAAGCGGTTACCACTGCGCCCCCTCCCTATCTAATTCCTTAGACTGCGGGGGGAATCTGATATGTTTAAATACTATGACAAATAAACTGTGATAATGTTTGTAGTAAGTGAAGTTTTTAAAAAGTTAATAGATATGTATATCAGTATTTATGCACACGCGCACGCACATCTCTAAGACAGTAACAACTTTCCAGCTCCCCAGTCACCTTTCTACCATCTTTCAAAATGTCTCAGCGACAAGTTTAGGGTATTTTGTGAAGAGCTGACTCAACCTTTGAATCGGAGCTGGATGCCCATTACAAAAAACTACGGCTGCCTCCCAGTGGGAAGCCGACGGGGGTCCAGCCGGTAATTAAATGTGCATTGACATCAGAGCTGCGGACTTTGGGGGCCAACTCCGAAAACCCTCAGTCTTGAAAGCCAAGCGCCGAAGTCGGCCCCGAACCAAGGTCCCCTGAGTGGTGGCCCCCAAAGCCGCTGTTCCACCCAGGAGTGCAGGGAACTTGGGCTGAGTCGGCAGAAGGAAAGGTGTGCGCGCCGCGCAGCGCAGGGATGGAGGTGGCGGCAGCGGGGGCGGTGGCCACCAAGGAAGCAGAGGGCAGCCGGCGGCACCTGGCCGTTGCCTTTCCCCCATGGCCGGCCGCGAGCGTTGGGCACCTGGAAAGTTGAGGCATTTCGGGCGGGCGGCATCCGGGGCTCAAGGAGGCCAGACCCGCGAGCCGCTCCGAGAGAAAAGCGCCTGGGAGGTCGTGCGGTTCAGCTCTCGGGCGGCACCGAATTCGATGTGAGCCAAATGCAACTCTTTAGACTTGGAGCGCAAAGCGACGCTTTAGGGTCCGCATCCCTCCCTCTTCCCGCACCTCCCCCCACCCTGGCATCCGACCTAGGAGTCAGCGCGGCCGGGGCCAGAGGTGGCTGAGAGCAAGTGGGAGGGAGTCCGGGGCGCCCCCCACGACAGCTCCAGCTCCTCTTAACAAAGGCGAAAACCTCAGACTTCGCCAGGAGACTCGCTCATCAAAGGAGAAGGCAAAAATCAACACCTACCACTGCTGCTCCAAGTCCCAGTCTCTGAAAAAGTCGAATAGATCCATAGCGGTCGGGCGGCGGCGGCGGGTGGGCGCCTGT